GATAATATCATCCTTTTTGCAGGGGATACCAGGGATTGAGTTTAGAGGTACTCGACCCCTGAGCCACATCCCTAGCCCTATTTTGTATTTTTATTTAAAGACAGGATCTCACTGAGTTGCTTAGCACCTTGCTTTTGCTGAGGCTGGCTTTGAACTCGTGATCCTCCTGCCTCAATCTCCTGAGCCACTAGGATTAAGCGTGCGCCACCGCACCTGTCCAAAAAAATCATTCTTCTTTAATGATTGTGGTCAATATTGAAGCAAAAAATAACTCAAGTATTTAACTCAAGTATTCAGTGCCTGGAATGTAGCAAGTATCCTTTTAGTGCAGCCATTATGATTATTATCCTTGTTGCTTTGTTATTTTCCATGTAATACCATCAGAAAATTTCCTTTTTATAGGTTGCATACAGAATCTCTAAGACTTGAAGTACCAGCACTTATTTTATATGATTTGCTGAGATTGTGAAATTTCTCTGGCAAGCCCAGCCAAACTTTCACACAAGTTTCCAGTATCTTACCCACAGGTTTCCTTTGATTCCAAATACTAGTCCTGTTTGGGACATCACTTCTGGAGTCCTGATATGTTTATACTTAGTGTTTTAAGAAAAATTATTTCCAAATAAAGTTTATTTTATTGAGGATGAGAGTTTAGAAAATTCCAGTTCAGGAAGCAAGGCAGAACAGTTACTTTCTAAGCAGGAAGAGAATAATATGCTAACTGCAACAGTTAAAATGTTTGCTTTTTGCCATTGATTATAACTGTGTTTTTATTAGTCAAAGGCCTTATGTAGTACCGCCTTCCCAAAAAATTTCTTTAAAAGCCTCTGCAATATTATACCTCTAGATAATGCCATCCTTCCAATCAAATGAGAGCAGAGCAGAGAAGTTAGAAATTCATTCATGAAAAGCTCAAGTTTCCCAGCTGCTTTGAGAGGCTGAAGCAGGAGGATCACAAGTTCAGACCCAATCTCATCAAGTTGTCGAAATCCTATCTAAAAATAAAAAAACAAAAAGGGCTGGCTAGGAATGTGGCTCAATGGTTAAGTATTCCTGGGTTCAATCTCTGGTATGAAACAACAACAATAAAACCCAAACAAACAACCAAATAAAACTCTTCAAATTTCAAGTGCTACATGATTAAGTTTAAATGTGAGAAGATAATTAGCAGAATGCAACATATATCTTGCATGCAGACCCTGACATTTTAGCTTAATATTTATAGGTCCCAGAGAATTTTTATAAGAGATGTGATGAACATATATTTGGTCTGTTAGGTACTATTGCCAAAGATCTCATAGATGCCCATAGGTACTCTGTAAGAAAGTTAATAAAGTCATTTCCAGAAACTAAGTTGAAAATTTAGTAGCATAAACAACTAAGCATTTGATAGAAATCCTGGCTACCCTTTGCCATTTAGTGTAAGTATTGGGTGACTGTATCTAGGTATCTTCAATTTTAGGACTGGAAGGAATCTTAGAACTTACCATAACCAACTACACTCATTCACAAATAAAATTAAAAAATAAGTACCTTGAACTTTCTAACACCCTGCACTGATGTTTTCAGTATATGTTGCTATCATCAGTTAATTCAAAACATTATTTCTAATTCTACATCTAGTCTATTGCAATAACATTTGGTATATGTAATTTTTGTGACACTTTCATACACGTGAACTCATTTGATCCTTATGAGCCTATATAGTTGTCAGACAGGAGTTTATTATATTTTTACTAATAAATAAACAAAGACTAAAAATGTTAAACAAAATGTCCAAGGTGAGAGTAGTGAACTCCTGGACACATAAATCTCTGACCTTTCTATTGGCCTCTCTCCCCCTCTGTTAAACATATGAAAAAACATCAAGTTGATGGTATTTTTATACTCTGGCAATGAACCAACTAAATTGAAGAATAGATTAAGACAATATTTAGACAATCTTATGTCAGAATTTTAAAACTTTGGGCTGGAGATGTGGCTCAAGCGGTAGCACGCTCGCCTGGCATGCGTGCGGTCCGGGTTTGATCCTCAGCACCACATACAAACAAAGATGTTGTGTCCGCAGAGAACTAAAAAAATAAATATTAAAAAATTCTCTCACTCTCTCTTAAAAAAAAAAAGAATTTTAAAACTTTATTCTGTACTGTTGGTACCCTAAGTATGGATGCATGTATGTATTTGTTTTGGTAGAGGCATGAAAGACAATGCTTTGAGAGATTAAATAATAATACCTACTATAATTCCTCCAATTAATAAGCTGCCAACACTTATTAAAAATGTATATATTGAGGTTATATATGGAAGGGGTGGAGGAATGCCTAAAGGGAGAAAATAAGTAGGAAGTCTTTATCCTTGAGATAAAATGATAAAAAGGTCCATTAGAGGAAAAGGACAAGTGGGCTGGGAATATACAGGAACATCTGGGAAAACTGCCAGGATGTGGTGCCTGACTTTCATAGAGGAGAAGGAGAGAAGAAAGGAAACTCAGAGGTTAACTGACTGAAGGAAGCAGATATTTAAAGGTACTGAAGTATGGTATGGTGAATATGAGTCACAGGTCCATTGATTAGTTTCTCAGGATTCCCTAGAGTTTTTAAATGACCAAAATTTTCTGCTTCTGGAGATTTGATTCAGTAGACCTGGAAGGGACCCTGGGTACTGGTGCTTATCAAAGTCTTCCATGGGATTTGGCATGAATCTGGATTCTGGTTTCTAGAATCTAGAATGCAATATAATGTAGGCCAAATTAGTCATGTTGAAGAGGAAAACTGTATCTGGAAAATGCCCTAGAGAATGCCCTAGTTAAGAGAAATAAATAATGTCCATTCTATTTGAAAGTAGAGATTGCTGCTAACCCTTGAGAAATGGTAAGAGGGTGAGAAAGAGCAAAGGTGCAGAAGTGGAAAGAACCAGGGCATGACCAAAGGACAGTGAGGAGTGTGGCCTGGCAAGAGCATGTTCCTGGAAAGGTGGATTGCATCTGAAGAGGGTGAGGAGCCCAGGAATAAATTATTTCTGGGAAATAGTCACTTAAATCTTTGAATAAGGCCAAGTTATGAAAAAAATATCTATCAAGATGTTTACAGTGACTGAAAGACTAAATACCAGAATATTTAACTCAGCCCACCTGGAAATTTCTTAACTTAAGTATGAGCAAATGGAGATAAACACCTCACTTACTTACCTTCTCCTGATGACACCATCTACCAGTTAGGAAGTGGTAAAACCAGGACTACAGGGCTAAAACAGCTCTTGAAACTACAAACATAGTTTCAGGGACAGAGAAATTCAGAATACACTCTGAGACTGGGAAAGATTAAGTATCTGGGTCTGGAGGATCAGCATTCCTTAGTATTATATATAAAATAATATTTAAAATATGAAATCGATGACAGGTCCATGATATGATTTACCAAATAAAACACAAAATAACACTGAGAATAGGATAGTTTTAAGAAAACTAGAATAGAGGCTGGAGTTGTAGCTCAGTGGTTGAGTGCTGCTTAGCACGTGTGAGATTCTGAGTTCAATTCCCAACACGCACACACACAAACACACACACACATGCCTATATTAAGCAAGAAAATGAATTAAAAGGCAAGCAAATTGAGAAGGAAGAAGTTAACTATCTATTGAAGATGATATGGATACATAGCTATACAAAAGAATTCACTAAAATTACAACTAATAAGCAAGTTTAGCAAATTGGGAGGATATAAGATCAAAATACAAAAATTGATTGCATTTCTTTTTTAAAATATAAATATTTTAGTTGTTGATGGACCTTTATTTTATTTATATATGGTGTTGAGAATCGAACCCAGTGGCTCATACACACTAGACAAGCACTCTACCACTGAGCCACAACCCCAGCCCCCCCAAATTGATTGTATTTCTATACTATCAATGAATGAACCAAAATGTTATTTTAAAAGGTCAATTTGTAAAAGTATCAAAATAGAAGAAGTTGAGAGTCCAGAAATAACCCTCATTAAAAATACACACACACACACACACACACACACACACACACACACACACACATATATATATATATTAGTTGTAGTTGGACATAATGCCTTTATTTTATTCAATAATTTTTATGTGGTTCTGGGGATTGAACCTAGTACCTTGCATATGCTAGGCGAGTTGAGCCACAACCCCAGCCCCAATCACCCTCATTTTTATGGCTACTTTTCCTTTTTCATAGAGATGAAACCCAGGGGCCCTTTGCCACTGAGCTACATCCCCAGCCATTTTTATTTTCATTTTGAGACAGGGTCTTGCTAAGTTTTTTAAGCTGGCCTCAATTTCCAATCCTCCTGCCTTAGCCTCCTGGGTTGCTGGGATTACAGGGTTGCATCACCTCCACTATTAAAAGCACAAATTAAAAAAAAAAAAAAAGAAAGAAAAGAAGGAAAAATTGAACAATATAAAAATTAAAAACTACACTACAGTGAGATTCCACTTCCTACCCACTAAAATGGCCATAATAGAAAAGATAAGAAGGAGGATTCCTGAGGATGTGGAAGAATGCAAACACTCTTCACTGCTGCTGGGAATGGACAGTGGTGTAACCTACAGCTCTTGGTATGTCTACAAGTGAGTTGGTCCTATGGGAGGGATCTGTAGCTTGAAGCCCAAGAGGGCCAGTCACCATGGACAGGGACAGAATCAAAAGGGCCTTCTTTCTATTCTTTTTTCTTTCCCTCCACCATCCCAGCAGTCATTGCCTAATTTACATCTACTGTTATTGATAAATCTGTCATTTGGAGACTCTGAGATAATAGATAATTTTTTTTGAGATAAAGAAAATTACACATCTTTTATTATCAGATGATACTAGATAATACTAAAGAATCACTATTAATTTTGTTGGCAACACATAACAGTAGTAATATAACAGTAGTATTGTTATATACCTTATGGTTATTAAATCCTTACAATTTTTGAGGGAACCAAATACAACACTCTACATGGAAATATCTATACCTTCATATCGTTCTTTTGTGGAAAAGCAAGCTTTATTTCAAAGTAACCCAAGAAGAGAAGAGGGGTCAGGGGGAACACATTTACAAACTGGATGGGAGCACACAGATACTGTATCCATTTGGCAAAGGCTCAGTCAGAAGTCTCAGCAATTCCTGCTGATCCTCCAACACCTACTCAGTTTCCTCTTCAGTCTGAAACTAAAGAGTAGTCTTGAAGATGCCCATGATGTCTTTGTTATCCAAACACACTCCCATTTCAGGAAAGAGGACACCTGGGGTCTTCCTTCTGGGGCATCTGATTAATTATTAAAAATAAATATTTACATTGAGAATATAGTTAAACTAGTAGTTTCCTTCACATTTTCACATTTTAAAAAGAATCAGAGGTTTCATGTTTTAAGCAGTTGAGTTGGTAAAGATCCTGTCTCCATTTTATAGGAGATGGATTACATTCAATTACTCCTTACAACTGAAAGATCATTCCATTGCTTTTGAAGTACTGGATGGGTTGGCATCTGCGATGGTAGCTAAATAAATAAGATTTCTATATAACACATGCTGGTAAAATTGTAGTTAATCTGTGAGTGAGTGGGCTGAAGATGTGGCTCAGTGGCGGAGTGCCTGCCTAGAATGCATAGCATGCACAGGACCCTGGGTTCTGAGTTTGATACTGGACACACTCATTCGCTCCACCCTTGTTCTGATACTCCACGATACAGCGGATCAGCTGGTCATTCTCCTCCAGGAGCTGCTGGATAGTCTCTTGAATGACTTTCGCCTTGCCCCTCATCCAGTCAGGTACAAAGGCCACCGACATCGCTGGGGGCCGGGTCGGCACCCCACCTCGGAAAAAGACGCACACCCTGCGGCCAGATAGACGCTATCTCCGCGCGGAAGTCATAGATAATTTTTTTAAAAACTGTTCTGAGGTAGGGAACGGTATCATTATAGGCTTTTTTTTTTTTTTACTTATTTTAGTATTCTGAGATTAAAGTATCACAATTATTAATATTTGAAAATCTGGGAGTGGAGGAGCAAATATCAGTGAAGTCATGTGATAGGTAGAATAATAGTTTCTGAAAGATGCCCATGTCCTAATCTCTGAAAATGTCACCAATATGGCAAAAAGGAATTTTGAGATAACATTAAACTAAAGTTTTTGAGATGGGAATATTATCCTGGACCATATAAACATGTCCAATGTAAACACAATGGTCCTTATAAATGAAATAAGTAGGCAGAAGCGTCAGAGAAAGTGATGTGACAGCAAAATAAGAGGTGAACGTGATGTGATTGCTGATGTGGAAGACAGAGGAAGGCGCGACAAGCCAAGGAGTGCAGATGGCCTCTAGAAGTTGGCAAAGGTGAGGAAATGGATTTTCCTTTACAGCCTCATGAAGAACGCTGACCTGCTGATACTGTAATGTTAGCTAAGAGACATCCATTTCATAATTCTGGCCTTCAGAAATGTAAAATAATAACTGTGTGTATTTTAAATCTCTTCTTTTGGTAGTTTGTTATAGCAGCAATAGCAGATGACTACCAGTTATGACTGGAGCTCTTGGAAGCTTCAATTGGAAGGTCAGGGAAGCATATGCTGAAGACCTCAGCCTATAGCACCATTGGGGGGTTCTCAACAGCATGTTGGGAGGTTGCTATCATTCCCTAGAACCTCTGAGAAAGCTCTTAGTGTTCATCTCAGTCTGCAAAGGAAAGCAGGTAATTCCAAAGCCTAGTAGAGAAGCTACTAAGAATCTCACATCTGCCTACTCTTCTACCTGTAACCACCAGGTAGATAGAGATCTTTTTCCCTTTTCTCTGCCCTATATCTCATGCAAATACCTTTCATTGGAAAACTTGAACAGGGAAGGGGAGGAGCTACGTTTTTTGTTTTTTTTTTTTAAGAGAGAGTGAGAGAGGGGAGAGAGAGAGAGAAATTTTTAATATTTTATTTTTTAGTTCTCGGCGGACACAACATCTTTGTTGGTATGTGGTGCTGGGGATCGAACCCGGGCCGCACGCATGCCAGACGAGCGCGCTACCGCCTGAGCCACATCCCCAGCCCAGGAGCTATGTTTTGTGTCTTTTTTTTTTTCTGCAGAGAAGAAGGCTACCAATTGATAAGATAAAATTCTGCAATATTGGTTAATATTATGAAGTATAGGTGAACTGACTGACCCTTGATTGAAAAGCAAAGGTTTCAAAAGCTGATATAAGCCAGTGATATATTTAAAAGATTCATTTAAATCTAGCAAATGTTTTGGTAGCTTTGATATGTCAATGATTGTGAAAAGAGGAAATCCATGGTTTGTGCAATTTTTAAAAATTCATTTTATTTATCTATTTATTCATTTATTGGTACCAGAGATTGAACTCAGGGGCACTGGCCCACTGAGCCACATCCCCAGCTGTATTTTGTATTTTTTAAAATTTATTTAGAGACAAAGTCTCAATGAGTTTCTTAGCACCTTGCTTTTGCTAAGGCTTGCTTTGAAGTTGCAATCCTCCTGCTTCAGACTCCCAAGCCGCTGGGATTACAGGCATGAGCCACTGTGACCGGCTGGTTTGTGCAATTTATCTCAGTATTAATGAAGACTACTAGAAGCCCACTAATATAGCCAGAACTACACATATGAATTGGAAAAAGCTGTGTTGTGCTATTTTCTAGAGACTTACAGAATGCAGTTTATAGTGACCTGGTATAACAATTTCTAGTTAAGCCAGAAGATTGAAGTGATTTCAGAGTTTAGGGATAAAACTTCAGTGAGATATAGAAAAATAGACAGTGTTTTACCATGTTAATTAACCAATCCCATAAGTAGTTTTTAATCTAAGTTATTTCTTTTCTTGTTTGCCTTTCTCTTTCTGAGGATTGAATCCAGAGGTGCTCTAATAATGAACTATGTCCCCAGCCCCAACTTTTAAACTTTTATTTAGTTGTATATAGACACAATACCTTTATTTATGTATTTTTATATGTAGTGCTGAGGATTGAACCTAGTGCCTCACACGAGATAGGCAGATACTCTACTGCTGACCTACAACTGCAGCCCCTTTTTAAAATTTTATTTTTATTTTTATGTTTTTAGTTGTTGATGGACCTTTATTTTATTTGCTTATTTATATGTGCTGCTGGGGATCAAATGCAGTGCCTCACACATATAAAGCAAGCACTCTATGGCTGAGCTACAACTCCAACCTCCAACTGAGACAGGGTCTTGCTAAATTGCCAGCTGGCCTTAAACTTGCAATCTTTCTGCCTCAGCTTCCCAAGACACTGGGATTATAAGCATGGGCTACCATGCCTAACCTGTAAGTAATTTCTTAGAAATGCTCAAAGAGAGATGAATATGATTCCAAAATTGAATTTTGTAAACACAGAGGTGGCGGCAAAGGGAAACAACAAACCCCAGCATCCCAGAGTCATCAAGTTACCCTCAGCCAAGAAACTCAGCAACAATTGCATTCAAAGGGAAAAGAGGCCATCTGAAGGGGCAATCAGAGCTGTATCACAGAACAAATATAGATAATATCCCAAACACAGTCCCTGAGGTTAATGGAGAAACAGGATAAGAAGTTTGGTTGCAGACATTAACCACAAAGATCCAAAGGTATCTCAAGGTTTACTTTTGGCCTGGAGGGATTGGAGATGGGAAGTGCTGAAGCTCTGTAGAGGCAACATAGCCATCCTGTTCCTCTGGAGAAAACAGAAGTCTCAGATCAGACATCACAGGATCTGATATTTTCCAACACATATTTCAGGCTTCTGAAAGAGAAAATTCTCATTAGAAAATTCTCATCTGAAATTAGCTTTCAAAGATGGAGCAACTACATAAGCCTGAGTAGGAAAGAACACCAATCCAGAGACCAGGACCGCAAAGCTGAGTACTAAACCCGAGCTAAGAGCATTTAGAGGTTCAGGGGGAAAGGAGATGGGGATCTCCTGGGTTGGCATACTGTAGCGCAAACCAGGTTTGCAGGGATTAAATGTTAAATATTTATGGACGAGGAATGAGCGCGAGCAAACGAAGAGAGCAAGGCCAGCTCAGTCAGAGCGGAGGACCGGCGCCTCTACTCAGCCCGGAGACAGCGGCCACAGAGCGGCGCCAATGCAGGGGCCGTGGGCGAGCGGTGGGATCGTGGCAAACGCGACAGTCCAGGAACTTGAGGAAAACCACTTTTCCTACGCTGATTGCATCATATTTGGGTTCTCATCAACTGTTTTCTAGCACTAGAATCCATTGACCTCTCTTCTTCCTTTAGATCCTTTCTTGAATTTGTCTGTCTGCCCCCCACCCCCGCCCCGCGCCTCTTTTTGAGGGAATGTCCTCCTATTGAGAAGTGGCAATCTCCAGTAAATTAAATCGCGAATGCTGTCTCTCGAATTTCCCCTGATTTCTCAGTGACCAGTGTCCTACTCTTCGCACATTCAGCAGGAAGAAGAAGGGCCTAGTCAAAAACCTTCTTCTCCTTCTCTTAGGAAGGCAAGGAAGGATTCTGACACTTCCAGAACCTGGGAAGAAACATCTCAGCCCGGAGAATGCAGACTTCTGGAAGAGTCCCGAGTCCATGTTTGTCGGGAGGTGGGGTAGGGGTGCTCTGCAAGGGGAGGGGCCACCAGGTGGGAGTTAGAGCAGGAGGTCCTAGGGATACCGGAAAGTGGAAAGAAAGGAGGAGAGAAACGTCTCAGCAGCCGCAAAGAGCAAGATCTGGAAGTGGCGTTGGTTTCTCCCATGCATAGCGCAGACTGCAGTGCTTAATGGAATTTCGATCAACTGATAGGCATTTAATATTCTCTACTTGCCAGCCACTATGCTGCACTGCACAGATACAGAGCTCAGGGAACTTTCTTCCTCAGAGTGACTGATCTGTCAACACTCAGTTGGGACCGCAACCTTTGGAAGCGCCTTGGCCCTTTGCGGGCGGGGTCAGTCCCTCGCTGCCGAGCCAGAGAGCAGCTGCAGTGCCTTCAGACTTCAGCAATCGCCTGCTCCCTCACTGCTGGCCTGGGGCAAGGCCACAAGGCTAAGAGCAGGCAAGGATCCCTGCTCCCCATTATCCCCCCAGCTCTGTCTTGCTTGGGCACAAGCGTCTGCCATAGCCAAGTCCCAAGATCCAACAACCCGTGAAATCCCAAGGTAGATTTGATTTTCTATGTCAGAGACAAACTGAACTGTCCAGGAAAATGCATTTGTAAATGCTTCACAGTTCCTAATGAGGATCATTCTCAGGGTGGAAAAAGAGCAAAGTCAGTGTGGAATCTATTCTGATAACCATCATCATCAAACCCCCAAAACTCCAGAATCATTCATTTTAGCAAAAAAAAAAATCTGGAAATGTATGTTGCCACACCTCCAGCTCCTTAAATTATCTTTCTCAAATGAACTGAGTTGGAGGAAGATCAATGCTGTGACTTTGGAGCACTTGGAAAAGTTTAAGAGGCTTGGATTATAAGCACCTAACTTATATGCACCTAAACTAAATCCAGATGCAGCAGCCATTTATATTTAATTCTAAAATGATGGGAAAATCCTTTATTGAGGAAATGATTCCAGATCCTTAAGTAATAAAACAAGAAGAAAGGGCAGAATTCAAATGCAGCAGCTGAGACAGAAAAATCCAAGAAACAGTCACATGCATAACAATCTAGATATGACACAAATGCTAGAACATGCCAAGAAAACAGCAGCAATGCAAGAAATGATTAAAAAAATGAAGCAGAATTTTGATAACAGGTTGTTTCCTATGTGGACAAATGCTTTAGAGGACTGAACAATATCCATGATGTTGATTCCTCTCCTTCTTGCTGAGCCTTGACT